CAGCACAATGAGTCACAGCAACAAAGAGCAGCAGGTAAAATAACGTATTCTCCTGCAGTCCAAACCTAGTGCTATTGATCATGTACTAAACTGACAGCAGCATTGATGTAAATTCCTAAGATGAATAGGCAGAGATAGGATTTATCAGCTACAACATTACATCAAAACAACAGTAGGAAATCTGTCTTTGTGTAGCTCTTAAAGCCTTAGATGTGCGACATAAATGACTCTTTTTAAACCACGATGAAGAGATTTTATCTGGTTTTGCCTGTATATAGTGTAGAGGCAGCTAACAAAGTAAAAAAAACAAATAAAATTTAATACAACTTATAGAAAATCCTCTGATTCTCAAAAGGCTATACAGGCAACATGGGGAACTCTAAAGGACTACTCCATTATAACATCAATGTATCCTCAGACTTAATATCTCATGAACTATGCATGTTTGAAAAAAATAAAAATATACAGCTTTTGGAATTTCCCAGCTGCTTGCCTGTAATTACAACCTTCCCATGTTCCACTGGTCCGACTTGGAAAAAAAATCAACAAGCAGCATGGACACCCAACACATTTAAATAGCCTTTTCCATGTTCCAGCTGTGTCACATAAATCGCAGCAGCTAAGACAATGTTTTACTGGCTAATCTGTAAGTGCAGCTTGCCATTTTCAATTTACGGTGTACCTTTTCCAGAAAGAGCTGGAGGAAGAGCATGCTGGAAAACTCTTGTTTAGAGTTAATGCATTTCCTTAAGTGGAATTCATCCTTTAAACAGGAACTCTCCTAATAGTTTTATTAGCTTTTGCACATTTTTTGCCAAAGTTAGAAAAGATCAGCCATTTCAAAAGGTGGACATGTCTGGATTTTTCTATATGGTGATCTTCTCAAAGTAGTGGTCAACACAAACTTACAAATTCCCAGTGAAGAAGCAAATTAGCAGAGATTTTGTGAATTAAACTTTTCATAAATAATACTTATTTTACCTGCTTTGAATATTTAAACTGGCTGCATTATTATCATCATAGCAATGTATGAAATAAAAACAATGCAGCAGTGAGAG